TAAACTAAAATAATACTATTGTGTATAGAACACTACAACTTATTGCTTCTATCTAATTGGATTTTAGTATCTATTATGTAACCTCCTTCCATCATCCAGGATATCCTTTATAATGCATAAATAATGTCGGTCTCTCCCCTCTTTACAATCTTGCAGTGGCTTCCCATTGCCATAAAAAAAAATAATCCAAGCCCCTTTCTATGGTCTAAAAGGTTCTATATGACTCAAACCTCTCTGCCTCAGTCCTCACCTCACATAATTTCACCCTTTACTTATACCACCTTCATCACACAGCTTTCTTTTTGTCCCTTCATTTTAGCTGAAGGCCTTTGTTCTTGCTATGTGTCTGATAGGTCTCAATTACTCTGCCCCCTCATCTTGGCAGGTTCTGCCCCACAACATTTAGGTCTCAGCTTAAGCATCATTCCTCAGAAAGCCTGTCACAATCTGCCAATTTAAAGTAATCCTTTCCTGGTCCCATCTTCTATCACATTGCCCTATTTTATTTTCTTTATAACACTTAGAGTTTCTCCATTTCCTTGCAAGTTCTCTACCCCTACTCTTTCACCCTTCCTGACAAAGGAACTCTCACATTCTTACATTTCACTGCCAAATTTGGCTGGCCTAGGATACTCCAACACAACTGGAAAAGAGCCCTTCCTGGGATTTTCAGAACTAAATTGAGAAACAGAATCAAATCTTAATGACATTGTCTGATGTGAAATTCAGGAACTGATGGTGGTCATATTTCTAGTAATGTGGAACAAATGAGTCCACAAGAGCCAACGATGCTTACATGACGATTAGGAGAAAAGGAAATGATTTTTAGAGTGATTTTTTTTGTTAGTTCTTGCTCTTTTTGTTTGTTGGTTGGTTGGTTGGTGGGTTGATTGGTTCTGGCTTTTCCAAGTTCTAAGTTATAGTCTGGATGCTCATACAGTACACTGGGGAACAATTTGCACCCATGGTTTCCTTTAAAAAGTTTTAAACAAAACTATAGAGAGTTGGTTAATCTAACTTGTCCTTTCTTGTGTCTAACACTATGCTCACATATAGATGTTTCATATGTGCTTTTTGATGATAAAGATGATCAATGTGCCACCTGCAGAGTAGGAGATTAGATGCCTTCCACTGAAAACATGATTTGATACTGAGTAGAAAAGTAGAATTCAACATTGCAGAGATTGAAAGTGAACAACTATAGGAAGACCCACCTAGGTTTTTCCATTAATATATCATGAAGCATTAAAATCTGCTGTTAAAAGTACATGTTCAGAGTCAAGATGCAAAATGTTTTAAAATGACAGTCCCACCTTTATTATTAGTAAAGTCCATTTAACCTTAATAGAAACCAATCCAATGGAACACATTCTAATTAAATGTAATTATGCAAACTATGTGCTTGGCACTGTAGGGGAGCAGAGATGATTAAGTCAGAGACTCAATTATTGAATTTGTTAAAGGACATGTTTTTTAAGTGCATATAATAAATGACTAAAAATACAAGGTGTTTGTGAGGTTTCTAAGCAAGTTACAAATAAAATGAAATGGTGCCAAGGCTGGGATGGAAGTTGATGATCAAGAAAGTTTATACTTAATTGCAAAAATTCAGGAAAGGCTTCATGACCGAGTTAGGCATTTGAGCTGCACCTTGGAGATGGGCAGGACTGCAAAGGTCAGAGTTCACATGAAGGAATGACAGGCAAAGGTGGTAGGAGCAGGAAGGCCTGAATGAAAGGGGTTGGCAGAAACAACTCAATGACTATTTGCTGTCATCACCAATCATTGAAATTGGGAGGTTCAGGGGATAGGATGGCATTTTAGTTTCAGAAATTTTGTTTGAGATGACAGCAAAATATCCTCTTAGGCAGAACTGGAGACATTTAAAATATGGTGCTCTTTTATGGGGGGCATGTTAACACTAGAGATGTCAAATTTAGAATGCAAATGAAACACATGGTATGCAGAAAAGTCAGGAGCATTATTTAGGCATCATTTGGAATATGGACCAATGAAGGTCATAAACTCTACAATATGGTGAGAAGTCATCATGGAGCAAAGAGACATCAGTGTGATCTGGGGTTGAAATTCAAGCATAAATGACAACTCCATGTTCCTGATAGGTTCAGTTCACTCAAATAACAATTAGGTCCCATCCTTCATTCTTGGATCTATAGGAAGTTTATCTTAAACACAGGTTCTACTGCTCAACATTTTGGAATAACAGTATTTATGACAGCCCTTCCTAGCTCATTGCTTTGGTTCTGTGGGCTGCTTCTTATGTTGTATCATTGAGTCTCTGGCTGTTGGTTTCCCCCTTTCCTCCAAGCATAGACAGGCTCCACCACTAAGACCAAGTTAATAGCCTGACAATCAGAGCAGGGAATTGCTATAAGAAAGAGACACAAAACTATATTAGATGTTACTGTTCCCCATTCATCCTCTCATTTTAAAGCTTCCCTAATGTATATTTCTTCCTGAGCTCCCATCCTGATACTGTGTCACAGGGCCAGCTTCCCTCACACTACCATATGGGTCCAACCTGAAGTCTAGACCCCTAACTCTAACCCTAGCTTCATAGAGAAAAGCAGGCCTTTCTCCTAGTTTAAGGTCAGCTTCCTTTCCTGCTCCAGGAATCAGTTCACTCAGTTCCTTCAAGGATAATTTTTACCTTTATCCATAGAGTAGAGCAAGACAAAACTAGTCAAAAATACATTTTTTAAAGCCTGAGATTTTCAGTGTCCCAAAATATTATGTGTAGGTGGGAGAGGAGGTGGGAAGGGACCCAGCAGTTCAGGGCCAAGCAGCGCCCCATGCTCTTTCACAACTCTTCCTCCAGGATGATGGTTGGATTTCTCAAGATTTATGAGTAATACCTGGAAAAAAAGACACATCCCTCAAAGTACATAAAATACAATATTTTTCTGAAGTCTGGAAGTCTACTTTAACTCCATATTTAGGAAAAAAAAGTCATTATTCTTCAAGATGCAAAGGAGAGGTCCTGTTAGAGAATCACCTAATTCACATCACTGAATAAAAACAAACAATATTCTATTTTTTGAACTTACAATTCTTGGGCACTTACTGTAAACTAGGGCCTTTCATATCTCCATTTTACAAAAAAGCAATAAACAAACAACAACAAACAATAGGCTCCAAGGGAAAACTACTAATAAATAGTAAAGCAGGATTTAAACCCAGGCCCATCTACCCAGGATCAGTATACTTAACACTAAATAATACTTTGTACACTAGATAAAACCAACTTAATTTTATTTTTATTTGTTTACTTATTTTTTTGTGGTGCTGGAAATTGAACCCATATCTTGGCACACACTAGGTAAGCACTCTACCTCTTGAGTCACATCACATCCCAAGTTCCTAAAACAACTTTATTTAAAGTGGTGGTTAAGTCACTAATTTTCTCCAAGGAAATTTATATAAGAAAAGGTACTTTTGAAGATTTTTCACAAAATAGTACCATTATCATCACCATCGTATTCATAAGTATTTTTTGACATAAAATGTTTATGCATTAGTTTAATAAATGTATACTGAGCACCATAACATAGGCGTTACATCAGGTGTTATGGAAGACGCAAATATGACTCCTTATAGGAATTATAATTTAGCAAGGAAGAGAAAATAAAAAGACAAAACAGAATTTCATGAGTACCACGGGAAAGGTGGTAGTGGTGGGGAAAAGTGTTAAGGGAGTTTTAAAGGGAGAAAGATCATACTCTCTTTGGGGTGTGAGGGACTTCAGTGGACACGTGGAAACCAAAAATTAAAAATAGGCGTGAAAAAGAGAGGAGTAAAACAAAATGAAGGCTCATTATCAAGATATTGGAACGGCTCCAGCAGACATCTTTGGTATCTCAAAATTATTAGCAAACCAACTTCCAAGGATTTAGATCCATTACTGTAATCATAGCTGAAATTGATGATGTTAATGTAAGTGCAGCACGCCGTTCCCAAAAAAATGTCCCCTCTACGTGGATGGGAAGCACTAAGGTAATAATCTTTAGGAGTAGCCCGGACATTCGTCATGGATTCATTTCAACTGGCCTCAGTATCTTGATATCATCGTGCAGTCCTTAACAGATTGGGACCGCCAAGGGTGTCCAATTTGTAGTCCGCGAGCCCTTTAGCGGTTTACAAACACTTAGGCTTTTTTGGATAATGATAATGCCCCCTTTAAAAATCTGGAGTTCGGAAGTGGCACAAAATGTGATTCTAATATAAACTAGTCTGCCCCACAGGTGACTCTTTTTGGTCAAGTTTACAGCACAAACCAGACTTTAGAGATACCTCCGTGGGAAGGTGGGGGGAAAAAGTATTCCCCCAAGTGACTGAAACTCATCGAAACTCGGACTACCAATCCCATCATGCAAAGCTCCATATTGTCACCGTGCGGGGCGGAGTCGTAGAAGGGGAGGCCACGGAGGTTGCCGATGCATTCTGGGTATTGTAGTCAGCGGTCCGGCTACCGATGGGGCGGGTCCACGTGGTGCGTTTGGCGGCAGCCTTGGGCAGTGGCTCTCCCGCTCCCTCCACGCGGCCCTTGGGGTGCGGGCGCCAGCTGGGACTGCCAGCCTTCGCGGGAGTCCGCTGGAGGGAGGGCCTGAGGCAGTCCGAGGCTTCGCGACGTTTTTGCGACAGCCGCGGCCGTGTTGCGCGAGTGCCCTCCCTCCTCCTCTGTGAGGAGGTACCGGCTGTTGTGCGGTGCTGCCTTTCTGTTTGAGTGTATGGGAGAGTGAGTGAGTGAGTGAGTGTGAGCGCGCGCGTGTGTGAGAGGGTGAAGAGTGAGTGCGTGTGTGAGAGGAAGAGAGCCCTCCGTCGCCGCTCCGCCGCTCCACCGCAGTGGGAGCAGGACGCGCGGCCGGAAAGAGCAGGGGTGCCGGCGCCCTGGGAGCCCGAGGGGACAAGGGCAGAGACACCCGCTCCCCACCCCCAGCTCTCGTCCCTCGGCTCTCCTTCGCGCAGGGGGAGCCTTTCCGTCCTCCCCTGGCCGGCCTCTGCCCCGCTGCTCTCCTGGATGTCCCTGGCGCTCTCGCGGGGCCTCCTGCTCTTGCTGCATCAGTCGGGCTGGTGCTGCGGCCGGCGGGTGTAGAGCGGGCGGGTCCCCGGGGGCTGCGGCTGCCCGTGCTTCCCCGGTCCCCACCCCGACCCCCCGGCCCCCCGACCCAGCTCCCCGGCCTCTGAGGCTGTGACAATGGACTATGACTTTAAAGTGAAGCTGAGCAGCGAGCGGGAGCGGGTCGAGGACCTGTTTGAATACGAGGGCTGCAAAGTTGGCCGAGGCACTTATGGTCACGTCTACAAAGCCAAGAGGAAAGATGGGTGAGTGTTTGTGTCTGTGCGGGTGTCGGCGCTGGGCGGCGCTCCCGCAGGCCGAGGCAGGTAACTCGGAGGGAGAGGGGCCAACGGGGTGCCGGGTTCCTACTTCATCGACGCTCTCTTCTGTCCCCGCCAGCGAGGTTTGAGGTTTGGGGAGGAAGTAGTGTCCAAGGGATCCAAACCCGTAAGAAATCGTTCATGCTGCGTCTGTGTTCCACAGTGGTAGCAACAGGGAAAAGGAACCTCCACCTCATGGGTTTCTAGTTTTCGAGGATTTCAGTGCTGAATTTCTTTCTTTTTAATTTATTTTAAAATACAAACTTAAATACAACCCCCGCCCCGGTCGATTTTTATGGTAACCTTTTGGGGATTTCCTCACCTACCTCTGGAGTGACATCCATCAGCCTGGAAGAGAAGCTGTGATCCCCCCCCCCCCCCATCACCAGTTTGTGATCAATTTATTATCAAATTTGTATTTTATCGGGGGAAAAGAAGGCAGCAAGTAAATGTGTTTCTGGAGAGTTCCTCATAGTGATCATCTGCAACATAAACGTAGCAGTTGCTATTTAGATACCATTAGCTGTGAGTTTTTACATAGAACAATGGGGGTTTGGTGCAGGGTGGGTGGTGGGAAAAAAGGCAAGTAACAAATAGGGGCTACCTTATTCATGCTGTTTGCCCCAAATTTAGCAGCTGGCAATGAACTTTAAATATTAATCTCTTTTCTTTAAATATTCTTCTCTAGAAATAACTCAATTAAATCTATCACTGATAATGCTTCCAATTTAGTTTCTTAGCAGGCAAATGAAGTGTTCATTTTTCCTTTGTCAGTAGATGAATGTATTGTAATATTGACAAAAGAAAAGGCAATTCTTAGTTGGGGAGAAAATATGTTTTATTAACTCCTTGTTTTCCTCATGTAAAATGGATGTTGTGTCTGTTGCTTTTTATACTAGAAAATTGTGGAAAGATAATGTCAAATGTCAAAGCTTATTGTATAATCTTTAGATTTTATTACAAAGTAGTTTTACTTGAACATCACCATTAATTTGGTTAGCTGCCATTTGATGTTTAATTTTTTTTTTTTAAACAAATGAGATAGGGTATGTTCAGAACTACATTAGCACCAAAAAATGAAACCATTCATAAAGCTGAAATTCCCTCAGGGGGAAAGGCCATATTTGTAAATACTTTAGTATTCTGGATATTGGAAAGGCAAGTATATGTTTTATTCAGCAATTTTTCTTAGATATACTGAAATACCTTTCTCAAATAATTTAAAATGGACTCCAAGAGAAGGTAGCTCTAATTAATTTGGACTGTATTTCTTTTATGCAACAGTTAAGGGTTCAGATATGGGCAAAAGGTAGAGATTTGAAAACTTGATACTCTGGGTGCCACATGTATTTAAAAGTACTATTTAGCAGAATGGATAGTCTAGTGACATTTGAGATATCAGTGTCTAGAGATACTGCTGAATCTGTTGTTGTCTAATTAGATTTCTCACTGAAGTTTTACTTGGTAATGACATGCATTTTAAAAGTGTCCTTTTTAACTTACTATATAATGTGTTTCAAAAGACTTAAACCATCTCTCTGTCCCCCAATATTATGTAATTTCGGGCATACTCATAACATCTCCAGTCCTGTGAGACTAGACATTATAGTGCATTTACCAATCTGTTCTCTTTTATTATAAAATTTTAGTGACTTTAAATTATTTTTAATCTCTGTAAAAGAAGCCAGTTTAATACCCCTGTTTTCATAAATTACCAATTTAAGGTAATAATATGCAAATTTGTTTTAACTTTGATTCTATGTTTTATTTAAAATCTGTTATATTATGTATTGGCAGGAGATACTTTTAAACACATTTTATATTTTGATGGTCAAATTTTAATTTAGACTGTTAATAATGTGAGAAGAATTGTACAATTTAAAAATAGCTGAAGGCATAGTATATATTTCTTAGTCCTTTGTGATGACTGCAAAGTATCATGGCATTTTGTAAAATAAAAGGAACTTTTTGTTTGTAATCCTTTGGATTTGTTTTCCGGCAACCTTTAATTATTCTGTTTATGATGAACTTTTTTTGGTAATGGATCAAATATCAAGAGAGTTTTCAAATTACTTAAAACAGTTTTTGTTTTCCAGAGGGAATATTTTTCGGTTTGGCTTCTTTTTTATAACCTCACTGTGGTAAAATACTGCATTGTATTTATGAGGTTCTTTTGATCTTACGTCAGGGAAATGTAATTTAATGCATTTTAGTCCTGGTAAAATAAAATTTGTGGCAGTTTAATCTTTTGTAATAAGATTATTAAATAATGGTTTTAGTATTGACTTACTTTTACATTAAATTATATATTCTACTACTGAAATTACACAGTATTCTAGGAATTTGGTCAGTAACACCTTCGAAGAGAATTGTGGGATTTACAATAAAATGAGATCCTGTAAATAAATTTTGTTGAGATATATTTGACTGTTAAATTGATATGTGCAAATGTATCTTTTTAGTTGTTTAATGAGCATGGTTAATTGGTAAAAAAATTTAGACCAGAGGAATTAGCTTCTTAAATTATTAAGTTTTAGGAAATAAAATAGTTTGAAAGGTGTTTATTGGATTTAATGAATTGGTAATACTACTCTCTAGGATACCACACTTAGGATAAAATCAGCACCTTAAGGAATGTAGGGAAGGGGAAATACTTTATTTGAAGCAGGATTCTATGCAGTAAAAAAGGGCCTTTTATAATTGCGTTAATTTCCAATTTTAAAAGTTGAAATAAGTGTACAATACATTTTGAAAGCAATTGTTCTCATATCACCATACATGAGAGAATGTCTTTTATGTCTAAACACTGAAAGGGGATTCACTGGGAAGCAGGATGTTCATTTTCTTTTTAAGTCAGTTGTATCCTCTTTGTAGTATTTAAACAACCAAACTTTTTTATGTGAAAGAACAGTAAAGTGTAAGAAGAAAATTTGTTTTTAAGTTCTAGTCCCTCAAGTATATGCACTAAACATTAATAGAATTTAAAAAACAAATTTGGAATGAATTTTATCTCCAAATAGAAAAGCAAAAGTATTCTTAATTTGTTATAATCTGTGTTCAGAAGAACAGATTTATATAATTGGGACTGTGTGTGTGTGTGAGAGAGAGAAATACACAGAAAACTTTCTTGGGGGCATTTTTAGAAAACTCAGAGATTAGTTGGCAGTGATGATAATAATAGCTGAATTATTGAGTAATTAAACAATATGTGAAGAACTTTATGCTTATCATCAATTTAATCCTCACAAGAAAATTTATTTTTCAACTTTACAGGTGAGGAAACTGAGGCTTAGAAAGTTAATCACATTTGCCCCATGAATGAAGGCTAATTGTATACAGTTGTATACATGACAGCTAGGATTAGGGGATTACCTATAGATCTTTAACTCTGTAGCCCATACTCTTAAGCACTAAACTTCATATAATTAATAAGTAAACATACATAGATGTGGAGTTTGATTTCTCTTGGGTCATTCAGGAAACATGAATGCCTTACCATGGAACTGTTTTTTTTTTTTCAATAAATTGGTGTACTTTTTGGGTACATTTCTAATCAGCCCTACATAGTTTTTTCAGGCGCTACCAAAGTGTATGTGTAGCTATATGGTTGTGTCTATATGTATATCCATACACACATACTTGTGTATCTCTCTCTATATATATTGATATACATGAATATGTATGCATACGCGCGCGTGCGTACACACACATACCAAAGTCTAATGAAAGTTGTGTTAGGATGTGAAAGCTCTTTAAAGAGTTTAAAGAGCTCTAAATTAGGGATCCTGGAGACCTGAGTATGAGTCAAGACTGTCTCTTGCTCGCAGTATGACTTTGGGTAAATCATTTGCCTTTACAGACCTTGGTTTCCTTAATTGTAAAGGTAGAGAGCTTCAGTTTTTTTTTTTTTAACTTGACTTATGCTACCTTGACATTGGGCTAATATTTGCTTCCACTGTTTACCATTCCTTTGTTGGCCAGTATAGGGATTCTTCTGATTAAATCTGTATTGGAGCTTTAATTCATTAAAAGTTTTTATTTTATTTTATTATTATTATTTTTTTAATATTGAGGATTGAACCCAGGGTCACTTTACCACTCACTGAGTTACATCCCAGGCTTTTTTCTTTCTTATTTTGAGTGGAGGTCTAACTAACTTGTGAGGCTGGCCTCAAAGCTTGAATTCAGTTTTTTTTTTTTTCCTAAGAAGACTTGTTTTTATTTTTTGCAAGAAAAATAACATCAAAACTGTTATTTGAGCCCAGTAAAAGTGATCTTATTTTAAATTTATTTCCCTAGAAAATAAGAGAACCATATTAATCTCTCGTCTAGTCTTTTTTTAAAAAATTTATATACGACAGCGAAATGCATTGCAATTCTTATTACACATATAGAGCACAATTTTTCATATCTCTGGTTGTATAGAAAGTATATTCACACCAATTTGTATCTTCATAACCTGTATTTTGGATAATAATGATCCTCACATTCCACCATCATTAATAACCCCATGCCCCCTCCGTTCCCCTCCAACTCCTCTGCCCTATCTAGAGTTCATCTATTCCTCCTATTCTCCCTCTCCCTACCCCGCTATGAATCAGCCTCCTTATGTCAAAGAAAACATTCGGCATTTAGTTTTTTGGGATTGGCTAACTTCACTTAGCATTATCTTCTCTAACTCCATTCATTTACCTGCAAATGCCGTGATTTTATTCTCTTTTATTGTTGAGTAATATTCCATTGTGTATATGTGCCACATTTTTTTTTATCCATTCATCTATTGAAGGGCATCTAGGTTGGTTCCACAATTTAGCTATTGTGAATTGTGCTGCTCTAAACATTGATGTGGCTGTAATTTTTTAACTATAATCAGAACTCAGAGCTAGCTCAGTGTCACATGCTGGTAGTTCCAGGTACTTGGGAGGCTGAGGAGCGAGGATCATGAG